CCATCACCATCATCATCAACTCCTACTCAGGGAGCTGGTTTTCTCTAGTCAGGGAAGTAAAGCTCTGGACCCAGGCGCTGGCAAGGCCAGCAATGGTAACACGGGAGCTCTCGGTCCCTGTCCCACCATCCCACCTATGCATCGGTGACCGTGTTCACAGGCCCGGGGGAATGCACTGGAGATTCCCAGAACAGACAGGGCAGGGGAGGCATGAACCAAGCAACTGGAGCTTATGCTGGCACATTCTCTTAGACTTCCCTCCTAGCCTCACTCAGACATCCTACATTTTCATTCATTTGGGTCGCTCATATGTTTATTCAATAAATATTTATTGAGCACGTACTATATGTGAGGACATGTGTTATGAGTGGAAAACGAGTCCCAGGTGCCACTGCTCTTTCGAGGGACACGGTAAGTCTCCAATTCCCACTTCTGCTCCTCTCAGTGTGAACAATCGATCAGGAGGACATTGGTGGGTGAAAGGGCTACTTTGTCCTTTAAAATGCCGGGAGTCCTTAAGATATTGGAACCCACGGGTAAATAAACCAAGAATTAAGAAACCCCCAAGGCAACTGAGGGCAAACAAGACACTCTTTTTGTTTTCAGCCCAGACACTAGAGTCTTGTGAAAACGTGACGGGATTCTGTTAGTTTTAACTAGACACATCTGCTGCTGGGTTAACTGAAAAGTCCCGCATTGTAAGGCTCTTGGGGGTAAATGAAGTATCCCCCAGAGGTATAGATGAAGCCACATGAAGAAATCCAATTAACGAGGAAATTCAGTGGGTATAAGCCATCCCATTACCAGCACAAGCCCCCATTCCCAACTTGCTACACTGTTATCTTGATCATCTTACAGATGAGCAGTGTGAATGTTGTTTAGTGAGCGATGCAGGAAGGAACCTTGACCCCTAGAACTCCTGCCCCCACCCCCCCACCACACACACAAAATGCATACTTCTGCAGAGGGAGGCAGTGCAGCGGAGAAGTGCACAAAGCCTGGGCTCTGCGGTCAGAGGGGTCTAAGTTTGACGGCTGTCCCGTCCCAACACTTACTGGCTCCATCGTGTAGATGAGTTACTTAACTTTTCTGAGTCGCAGCCAACTCATCCTTAACGTATGCATACTAATACCTATCAAAAAGGGCTGTTCTGGATAATGACTATAGAGCACCTAACTTGGGCTTTGACACATACAAGGTGATCAATAAACATCGATTCCCACCATATTGTAGGTTCTAGAGCTTCAGCCTTGCGATGGTCTACCTTCTCCTTTGTTCCTTCCTCCTCCTCTTTGGTTTGCTTTTTCCTCTTCCCTGGCAGATGCTGAGCCTGGTTCTCACAACAGAAGATGCCCAGCATCTTGGATTCATTTATTAAATATTTGTTTATCAAGCCCCTTCCATGTGCAGTATGCTGCATTAGAGCCCGTGCTGGATACAGAGATGAATCAGATATCCCCACCTGTGGAATCTTTATAATTTAGGAGGGAAGCCAAACTTGCAGTACAACACAGAGTGATGCACAACTTAAGAAAAGTAGATCAAGTGTTGCAACTCAGAGAAACCAGAAGCCATTTCCATCCAAGACAATTAAGGAAGACTTACCAGAGCAAATGCCACAGAAAGTAGGCTTTAAGCACTGGTAGGGCTTAGATGTATGAAGATGGGTGGAGGGCATTATCAGCAGGGCTATGGTAGGAAAGGGAATGTAGGCAGGAAAGCCAAGGGTTTATAGAAAACTCAGACTGGCATCATGTCTGGGATATGGGTAGGATAAAGGAAAGACAAAGCTGGAAGGCACAGTGGCGTCAGACTGCCCAGGATCTTGAAGGCCAGCCTAACACATCTGGATATTATCTGCAGACCATGGGAAGTCAGTGAAGGCTCACAAGCAGGAAGACAGTAAGGCCCATTTGAATAGAATCTCTTCATTGCTTTTCCCTATGAGTAGCCTGCCCCCCCACCCCCGCAACAAGTGGCTCTGTGGTCCAAAGTCTGCATTTCCCTCCAGTGTCCCTGCCTGAGCAGAAGGTCCACTGTGTCCACTGCAAAGTCCATGCCGCCCTTTCAGAGCGCTCCTGAGTTTTGTCTTCCAACTGGAGTCCACAGAAGGAATTTATGCTGATGTCATAAATGATGAGCACAATCTGAACCCAAAGGCACAAGGCTTTTGCTGCCCCAGTCATAATTTCTGCTACTTATCCATGTTTCTGTTAATAGCATTATAATCACTCATCCGCTGCTGGGGGAATGGCCATTCTGCATTTATCATTACAGGTGCACAGTGTTATAAGAACAGCGAGAAAACTTTCAGGCATACTAACAGACAGTTCTCAAGAGAAGACATGCGATCATAAGTACTCTTCAGAACTAGAGGGAGAAATATCACCGCAGCAGGGAAAGAAACACACACACACACAGTTATCTGTTCACCAGCTTCTTAAAACGCTACAAACCAGAGTGAGTTCCCCGGAAATCTACAAACACAATATATGTCATTTATTGGAGGCTATTCATTTTAATTATCTGTCCCCTCATCTGAACAATTCAGTGTGGTTTGAATGCCCTACCTTACCATTTCACATATTCATCCTATACAGGGGGAGAAAATGCCAGCAAAATGCAGGAGGGGAGAGATGAAAGAAATAGAAACAGGAGGGAAAAGCAACTGAGGGAATGCAGCAAAAAAGCACAGAGGAAAGAAGGCGCAGGAGAGTGGGACGAAATCCACACTGTTGGGCAGATACATCCTCTGCCTGACTGGGAACAGAGCAGAGCGCCAGGTGTGTCTGAATGAATGACCAGAGCCAATTTAATGCACCAAGAACCTGCTCTGCACTGAGAGCTGAGGATACAAAATGAGTAAGGTCAGGCCCCTGTTCTTAACCAGCTCAAAGTTTAGATGGGGAAACTGATAAGTAAACAAGTGTACTGCAATACAATGAGCAGAAATGCCACACGAAAAAAGAGCTGTTGAAAAAGCTCTGAGAGCCCCAAGGGAGAGAGAAAGAGGATTCTTGAGAGGTGTATTTGTGTGCCTTTAGGTAAGTCACTGGACCTCTCTCAACCTCATCTCTAAAAAGCGATTCTGTTGGCTGCCTATCTCTCAGGGTGGTTTTGTCATTAAATGAACTCGTGGCTGAAGATCCACCCTGCAAACTGAGAAGTCCTGTGCCAAAGTCTGAGATCGCTATTCCCTCCGCTCCTATTTGGTGCTTACGGAGGGCACATAGAACCAGGACTGGGAGTTGGGGGTTAAGCATGGACCCCTCTCTGGCTTCTCTCTGACCCTCTACCACCCCAATCTGGCTTTCCACCGTGTGTCCAAGCACCCACAAATACAAAACCTGGAAAAGAAAATGAAACACTCACCAGCGTCAGGTTGCCTCCAGCCTTGAAGTCCGCAGAAGGCAGCAGGGCCAGGGCCTGGCCCCCGGTGGGGGCAAGGGGGGCGGGCACTGCTGGGTCTGAGAGCCCCTGTGTTAGCACTGGCCACCTCTCCTGGCGGCCTCAGTCTTCTTGCCTCCCTTCACCAACACTTTCCCTGTCCGCTTTGCTGCCTACTTCTCTCCGCGGGCTCCAGGTTTTCTGCCGTCTCTACTTTCCCTCCCCATTTGGACATTGGTGCTAACGCTCCCGGAGAAGAACGTTTTCTCGAATTTCCTGGAGGATGTGTGTGAGGACCAGTGGAGGCCGGTGACCCCCTGAGGCGCTCTCTCGGGGCCCTAGCCCGCTTCCTCCGCCTCGCCCACCCCCGCCACCCCGGCCACCCCCTCCCTCCCCTCTCCTCCCTTGCTCTCCCCCGCAACCTGTCCCTTCTCCCCTTTCCTTCAGATTCCGCAGTTCCCCCCCTCGTCCCGTCCCCTTTCTTCAGGCCCCCGTCTCAGTCTGGTCTCGCACCCCCGACCCGCACCCCCGACCGCCCTAGCACCGCCGGGGCAGCGTTGGCCCGTCAGGTTCCCGCGTGCCCGCCCCGCCCCGCCCGCCAAGTTCCCGCGACTCCCGGCCCGGGACGCGCGGCCGCTCCGGACTCTGCTCAGCAGCCGATGACGTCACTGAGCTTTGCGCCAGTGATTGGCTATTTCTGGGTTTGCGGCGGGAGACTCGGCAGATTTGCGTGGCGGCTTTCTTTGTCCCTCCGCCTGTTCAGGTGGAGCTGGGGACCCAGGCCCTGGGCTCCGTGCAGTGCTTCTCCGGCGGGTGCAGGAGCCACCGGCCGGGACGACAGGCGGTGACTCAGGCCCTGGGGTTAGTTGTGGCCGGCAGGGAGCAGAGCCAGGGGAATCAAGTGGGCAGTGGGCCGGGCGCAGGAGGAACAGTCCAGACTGCGCGTCCGCTAGCAGGTGGCCGTCGCCGGCCCGCCGCGGTCTGTCTGCAGTGGTAGGGGCCTCAACTGGAAAGTAACAGCTCTGGACTTGGGATCAGGCATTCAATTTACGATCTTTGTTCTTCTGTTTGTATGACCTTGGGCAAGTCACTTCATCCTGTTTCCACGCTGCAAAACAGGAACCAGCGTGTTTATTTCACAGGTCTACTAAAAGGATTAAGAGTAAACGTATTTTGTAATTATTAAATCTGTTGTTATTTTAGTAGATAATATGGTGTAGCAGAAAGAATCCTGGATAAGGAATGAAAACTCTTTGCTTATCTTTCATTTTCTGGGATGACCTTCACCAAGTGACTTTTAACCTTTGTAGGCTCCATTGTCCTTATCTGTAAAGTGGGAGAACTGGACCAGAGGATCTTTAAGGTCTCTTCTGGCTCTGACTGGTAAAACTCAGCATCCTCCTTTTATCTCTCCTTCAGAGGAAGAGCTCACTTTCCTTTTCAGGACTCTAGTTAATCTCTCCCCTTTGTGAGAAACCCACCTTCTCTTAGGGATCCTGGAGAACCTGCTTTTCATTAAGGGCCTGCCCTCTCCCCACCCTCAACAACCAACGTATCCCAAATGGTAGCAGCAAATACGTAGGGCTCATCCTTGATGGAGATTCTCTCCCCAGGCTACTGGCAGGAGCAGGATTTGGAGCTGGGAACTCTGGCTCCACTCGGCGAGGCCATCAGCTCCACAGTCTGGAGCAGCTCTGACATGCTGGCCAGTCAAGGTGAGAATCCAGGACCCTCATCTCAATGTCCCTCAGTTCCTTCAGCCATCCTCACATCATCTCCCACTCATGTTGCCTCTGCCCTATGTTCTCACCCCCTTCATTACCACACAGCTCCATCCGACATTTTAGTTCTTAGTTCCACACCACCAACTTCTCTTGCACCTACGCCTCTTCCCTTACTCCAGTGCAGAGACCTCTGTATCCCCTACACCTTTTCCCCAAAATAAAATGATTCCAGGAGGAGGGTATTACTCAGAATAAAGAGGTTCTGAAAGACACAATCGAAGTAGAATTCTTCAAAGGGACCCAGGGATAACAGGATTACTGGTCAAAACTTGGTATATGGCGAGCAGTAAATGACAGGTTTCCCAAACCTTTAGTTCAGATGCTTAAGGGATAAATCATGTCCCAGTGTACTCAGCCAGCTCTGTCTCTGGCTCACTAATCTTAAAATCATCGTTTAAATGTTCAAGTTAGACGGTTACTTGAGGAGCATTCCCATGAAAAGGCCCCTGCATTGAGAGTCGAAGAACAGAATCATAGTCCCCACTGGAGTCCCTGGTTAGTAGAATGATCATAGGCAATCACTCCACCTCCATGGCCTCATTGTCTACATCTGTAAAATGAGGGAATTGGATTCCGTGATCCCTAAGATCCCCCTCAGTTCTGTTATGATTCTAAACACTGAAACCAGCGGCCAGACTTTGTGCACCAACGTGAAGATGGACACCCCGAAGCGCGCGTGCTCGTTATCAAGTCCAGCACACGCCACCTTCTCTCCTCAGGGCCCCTTCTCTGCTAGGAGCATCCATTATGTATTTCTTGGAAATGGAGCTCTGGTGACCAAGGAGGAAAGGAATAACAGACAGGGCAGGGGTAAGGTCAGTGCCAGGGGGAGGATGGGGATTGTTTAAAATTACTCAATTAGGAAACGCAGGAAGTAAGTTCCTTGGCTTCCTATTCAGAGAAGAATAATGCTGCTTAACTGGTTTCATGCCATCGAAGGGATGGTGCGGATGCTTCAGAATCAGAGCTGGAAGGTGTTGTGCATTTTCGTCCTGTGGAGGTCGCTGCTCTGGGGTCACAGAAAGTCAGTCCTGGAGATGAGGGAGTCAGCATGGGGAGCAGAAGCCAAGCCGTGGGGAACACGGAACAACGTTGGGTGGAGGCAGAAGCGAGGGTCACGCCCTGAGGGCTCCCAGCTAGGCCATCTTGAGGGCCCATTTGGGAGTCAAATGGCTCATCCATATGATACCTTGTTCGTCCTTTTTTTTTTTTTTTTAGTTAATTTGACTAAGGAGAGAGGGGTGGGAAAGTATTTCCATCACATGGCAGGGAAAACTTTAATCCTTTATTCTAAAATAACAGGAGGGGGGTGATTTGGGTTGGTGTGTGGAGAGGCCGGTTGTCCGGGTACTGAAAGAGTGTGAGCTGACGATGAAGGGAAGTTATTGTGGGAGGAATTCAAAAGTCTGTGCCAATATGTTTCAGCTTTTCTTTTCTTTCTTTCTTTCTTTCTTTTTTTTTTAAATCTTTTTGGTTGCTTATTCCACAGTTTTATCAGCTACCTCTTATGTAAATGAACGTGGGACCCAAAGCTGGCTCGGCCTTCTCCTCGCTTTTAGTTTTGGGATTATTGGTCTCAAGCACCTTTCCTGTCCTTGCTCGAATAGGCAGGCACAGGCAGGAAGGCAGAGTGTAGAATGACAGATGCGTGTGCGTGCTTTCAAAGTGAACGGCAGAGCCTCTCAGGAAAGATGCATGTGCGGTGCTCTGTGTAGATGTGGGCGCCTTTATTCCCCTAAATGTTTGTGGCCCTGTCAGTTCACTCAGCAAACATTCAACAAGTGACTGTTTTTCTGTGTATTCCGAGCGAGAGGAAATAAGGTCTGTCTCCCCTTCCCCACCACCTCTCTTCCTTCTCCCACGATGCCTTGCGAGAACACAGACACCCGGGCCTCGGACCGCCGGGGTTAGATGAGGCACGCTTTGGCCCAGAAGTGGGGGGAGGGGCTGGGGCTTCCTCAGGAAGCTGACCCTCTTGTACTCCTGCAGATAGCCAGCCCTGGACATCGGACGAGACAGTGGTGGCTGGTGGCACCGTGGTGCTCAAGTGCCAAGTGAAGGATCACGAGGACTCGTCTCTGCAGTGGTCTAACCCTGCCCAGCAGACTCTCTACTTTGGCGAGAAGAGAGGTACTGTCCCAGGTGTCCTCTCTCCGGGGGCACTGTGGGCGGGGGCAGGGGTCCGCAGAGCTCGGGGCTATACGTGCCTGGGGTGCGGAGGCTGGGCACTGGGAAGACATGCTGTTGGAGGAGGCAGCTACGCCAGGGGCTCCTCCCCTGGCTCCAGAAAAACTGTAGTGTCACAGCTCTGACCTGAACCATGCACGGTCCCACAGGGTCCTCCCTGGCGACACCCCAAAGCAGCCCTAAGATTTAGCTGGTGTCAGTGTTGCCCCATGTACTTCACACGGCAGCCCACGAGATTCAAGCCTACTTCTCTGAGCGTCCCTGAGGCTGCTGTGCCTGCCCAGTGGCTCAGGAAAGTGACTGACCGCATAAAGACTGCTCAAACTCAGAAGCAGTTTTCCGTGCCCCAAACCATGCTAGACCCCTTCTCCCAAAGACTCTGGCCTGGGACCGGAAGATGAGCAGTGCCAGTGAAAGCCCTGCTTCCCGTTCTCCCGATGTCCCCAGCCCTTCGTGATAATCGGATCCAGCTGGTTAGATCCACACCCCATGAGCTCAGCATCAGCATCAGCAACGTGGCCCTGGCGGATGAGGGCGAGTACACCTGCTCCATCTTCACCATGCCCGTGAGGACCGCCAAGTCCCTCGTCACTGTGCTCGGTGAGGCTCCCCAACCCCAGGGGCTCCACAGTGGGCTTCCTTGCAAACACAGCTCCTAGGTGAGCCCCTGAGGCAGCCAGAGGCCAGGCAAGTCTCCCAGCATTTGGGAAAACTTCAGTCTGTGCTTCCTTCACAATGGAACCAAGTGCAAATAGCACTGGGTTCCGATCTTTTCTCCTCTACTTACTGTGTGCTCTGGGAGGAATCTCTTATTCTCTCTGAGCCTGAATTTCCTAACCTATGATAGAAAGATGCTCACGTCTATTCCATGGACCTCCCAAGATTATATGAGGAAAACGAGAAATACTTGTAGTGTATGATTCTATTGTCCAAGTACCCCAGCTGCTTACATGCTCTTACCTGGGTCCTACATTTCAGTTTTCTTCCTTGCTCCCCTGGGCTTCACACCATTTCTTTAGCCAGCCAGTTTTGCTGTGGGGTGTCAGGTCATGTATCAGATCTTCCCTGTGTGTCCTTACGGAAGAGATTGAAGAGAAAGATGATTTCTCTAGTCTTCTACCCATTCTAAACCAAAGTAGGACTCATGCATCCTGACTCCTCCCCCCCCCGCCCCCCCGCCACTGAGGGGCCATCTCTGCAGGGACAGCTGAGGTCACCTCATGGTGCCTCTCCTTCCTATCTTGGCCATCCCCCGTCCATGGCAGGAATCCCACAGAAGCCCATAATTACTGGCTACAAGTCCTCATTACGGGAAAAGGAGACAACCACCCTAAACTGTCAGTCTTCTGGAAGCAAACCTGCAGCCCAGCTCACCTGGCGGAAGGGCGACCAAGAGCTCCACGGTACGTCCCCCTGCTTTGGGGTTCAGAAGGAGGTGGTGGGGTGGGTGAGGAAGAGAGGGGTACGTGTCTGTGTATGTGCACATTAGTGTGGTGCAGAAGGAGAAGGACAGATATTCTGTGCACACTCATGTGTGTGTGTGTGTGTGTGTGTGTGCTAGGGCCTACATTCTCCCTGTGTGTACATAACCATTTCACAACTTTCTAAGTTTGTCTAAGTTGAGACTCGCCATCTGTATGTCTGCCGTGGGGCCCACACTGTATCTGTATGTTAGGGCTCACTCTGTCTGTGTGTATGCGTGTGTGTGTGTCTGTTCTGTACTCCAGGAGAACCAACCCGCGTTCAGGAAGATCCCAATGGTAAAACCTTCACCGTGAGCAGCTCAGTGACATTCCAGGTTTCCCGTGAGGATGATGGGGCTGACATCGTATGCTCTGTGAACCATGAATCTCTAAAGGGAGCTGACAGATCCACCTCTCAACGCATCGAAGTTCTATGTATGTGGTGGGCTTCTGGGTGAAGAAGGATCAGGTATGAGATGGTGGCGGGGGGAGGAAGTGCTCGTGACTATATGCGAAGCACTGTGCACAGATAAGTGATGAGTTGAGGGGTGACAGCACCAGGCCAAGAGTCAGCAAGCTTTTCAGTAAAGGGCTCAATAGCAAGTATTTGAGGCTTTGGGGGTCACATGGTCTCTGTCTCAACTACTTAACTCTGCTGTTGCTGCAGGAAAATAGCCATAAACAGTATGTCAACACATTAGTGTGGCCGCATTCCAATAAAACTTTATTTACAAAAACACAGAGCTGGGAGGATTTGGCCCCAGAGCAAGTTTACTAAGCCCTGAGCTAGGCCAGGGTTATGCAGCTAGACTGTAAGCTCTAGTGGTAACTGTAGCAAGCCAGGAGTCAGAAGATGCAGGTGCTAGTCTTCCCCCCGCCCCCCACCGCTCCAGGCTCTCTGAGGTTAAGAAAAGGGCTTTACCCACTGAGCTTGACTCTTTATTTGCTCTATAAGAAGATGAACCTGGCGACCACTAAGGCTTTTTCCTAGACCAACATACTGTGATTTCAGGATCCCAGATTTTCCCTGTGGTCCTCCTCGTCTGCCCCAGCTCTGCAAGTGTTCTTGGCTCTCTGACTTACAATGGCCACTGTCATAGTCCCTACCTGGAACCTTTCCAAGGGTCTTTGTTTCTCTGTGGAATCTGCCCTGGGTGTGGACAGGAAACTTCCACCCTCACCTGAGGAAATTTGTAAATTTTCTGAGTCAGGGAACCAAGAAAAAAGAAAAGAAAGTACCGAGGCAGAAGACAGAGAGTTATAAAATAATGCATTTCTTATCCTAATTTATCTAGAGGCGGGCATTTTCCTGAAATAACTCAGCTGCTTCATCTTCTTTCTTATGGAAGACCCAGGACTGAATTTGGCACTCTTCAAAATTGCTAGACCCATTGCTGAAACCTGAATGTGAGGCAGGTTTGGGGCGGTGTCACTTCCCATTTGGCATACTCTCAAGCTGGCGGCAGACGGCCCCGAATCCAGCCGCGGGGCCACTACCCACTAGCTGTGCCTCTTTCACCAAACTTGCCATCTCCCAGGGGCTGCTTACTTCCCGGAGTTAGCGTGAGGGTCAAGGGGAAAATATCTGTGAAAGAACTGTGCAGACTTCAGAGTTGTCTATTGCTGTAAGGTGTTTCTCTGCTGATTAGTTAGAAGTGTGGGGCCCCAGGCCCGGGTCCCTGTCTAGGGCTCAGGAGGGCCCTCCCATGTCCGAACCCCACAGACTTCTCTGTCAGGTACCAGACCATCTGGCGCTGACTCTCTAGGCCCAACTGTGATCAGCAGTCAGTCAACAAGTGCTAGACTCCAGGCACTGTGCTAGAGGTTTCTGTGGCTGTGGGGCCCTGGAGCACCCATCTTCTCACCTGGACTGATGCTCTTTGTCCTGTTTGCTCTGACAGAAACACGTTCATTAACTGGTTGTTAAGGTTGGCTCTGTCCTTGGGGGAAGCTCGGCCTCTTTATCTGTTGTTCTAAACCAGCATCTGGCTGTATTGTTCGTGCGGCCATCTGGACCTAGCCTCCCAGCAGCCCTTTGGCGCATGGCAGATGCCGTTATGCCTTCACAGAGCTCATCTGTACCATGTCAGTGCCTTTCTGCCGCCCAAATACGACCCCCATCTCTTGTTGTTGGGAAGCTCTTACTTCACTGTTGGACTGACGGTGGAAAATGATATTTTGTGTTCCCTTGTTGCTTTCAGTTTAAACTCCCGGCAGAACAGAGAGGATGGAGAGAGTGTGAGCTCAATAAACGATCCCGTTCAAGTTCACTGGTTACCAAAAATGTGTATTAAGTTGACCCTTTCTCAGCTCTCTGTTAGGACGTCCTTTCGGTCCCCACCACGACAGATCTTCGGAAATCCTACCTCTACGGGGTTGCAGTGCGGATCCCATGCGCGTTCAGTAGCAACCGTGGACTGGGCTCGCGGCAGGCGGGGGGTGGAGGCCTCTGTCCCCGGCCCCGCCAGCGCTTGAGACTTCTCGGGATGGAAGCCGTAATGCGCAACTGGATGATGGCGGGATGGCGGTCCTCTCCTGGACGGTGTGGCCATTGTGCGCTGACGCCCTTTCCTTCTCCACAGACACACCGACGGCGAAGATTAGGCCAGACCCCCCACACCCCCGCGAGGGCCAGAAACTGCTACTCCACTGTGAGGGCCGTGGCAATCCCGTGTAAGAGGATCCGCTTCCCGCCCCAGCGCACCTCCGCACCTCAGACTGTGGTCTTCCCTTAGAGTCTCCCCATCGCCCCCTACTGTCAGCCTCTTGCCTTCCCTGTCCCTGCCCTGCGCCGTCCATCCCCCACCTGTTTCTCCTGCAAAGCAGCAGAAGGGGGGCACTCTCTGGCTGCCCCCATGGTCCCCGTAGGATCCACCAAGTCACAGTCAGATACGAGTTAGGAAATCACCCTCATCCTCAGGTCAAACCCCAAGGGGTCACCCCTCCCTTCAGCACCTCGTGCCTGTGGCCCCTGTTAAGTCCTTCAGCCTGCATCAAACCGTCCTTGACTTCCTCCACCCAGGTGTTTTTCTGTCTCCCTTCAGCCCCCTGGCCTGCTCTCTCCCAAACACGTGAGATTTCTCTGCCTCCACAGACCCCAGCAGTACCTGTGGGAGAAGGAGGGCAGTGTGCCCCCGCTAAAGATGACCCAGGAGAGTGCCCTGATCTTCCCCTTCCTCAACAAGAGCGACAGTGGGACATACGGCTGCACGGCCACCAGCAACATGGGCAGCTACAAGGCCTACTACACGCTCAATGTGAACGGTGAGCCGTCCCAGCCCTCCGCCGCATCCCCCTCGCCCTGTCTGCCCAGCCCACGCCCTGTGTCTCGGCTCCTGAGAGCACCCCTTGCTGTGCCCTAGGGGCAAGGGAGGGGACAAGAGCCCACGGCGGAAGGGCCTGGGACTTGGGCTCTAGGTCCGCTCTGGAACGTGTAACACGGAAGCAATCAGCGGGATGGCAGGCTCTCTCTCGTCTGCCTGGTTAGCACTGGTGGCCCACCAGACACCGTCCTCCCCCACCTGCGCTCCCCAGGCAGCAACAACTACAGTTCTGTGTGGAGAGGCCCCAGAGTCTCACCGGGGCCAGCGTGGGAGTTCCCCTTTCCAGTGGGCTGTCTCAGGGCTGCCACTCCTGTGACCCACAGGGGACACGTGGAGCCACCACCACCACGTCCTTGCTGCAGACCTTGGACAGGGTAGGGTGGGTCCAGGCAGAACACAGAGGTCTGCTGGTACGACGCTGAGACACAGGGCATTTTCTCCGATGCCTTATCTCCCAGAGACACTAGTGATGCTTCTTCTCTGAAGCTCTTCCCAAAGGTGTGACCACAAAACCCAGGAGCTGTGACAGGCTGGCACAGAGGTCCCCTTATTGGAGAGTGGGCAGAATTTTTTTTT